CTCTCTCTCTCTCTCTCTCTGTCTCTCATAAGTAAATAAATAAAATCTTTAAAAAAAAAATTTTATTTATTTGACAGAGACAGCGAGAGAGGGAACACAAGCAGGGGGAGTGGGGGAAGGAGAAGCCGGCTCTCCGCCGAGCGGGGAGCCTGACACGGGGAGCCTGACACAGGGCTCGATCCCAGGACCCTGGGATCATGACCTGAGCCGAAGGCAGCCGCTAAATGACTGAGCCACCCAGGCGCCCCCACTGCATACCTTTGAAAAAATATTCTATTATAGAAAGTTTCAGAGTATAATGAAAGTAGGGAGAACAGTATCATGAGCCCCTGCGTACCCATTACCCAGCTTCAGAAGTACTAACATCATCGCATCCTTTTAATTTTCCAGCATGTGGAAGTATTGTATATTAAGATAAATATAATGAGGGCGCCTGGGTGGCTCAGTTGGTTAAGCGACTGCCTCCGGCTCAGGTCATGATCCCAGAGTCCTGGGATCGAGTCCCACATCGGGCTGCTGGCTCAGCAGGGGGCCTGCTTCTCCCTCTTACCCTCTCCCCTCTCATACTGTTTCTCTCTCTCTCTCTCTCTCAAATAAATAAATAAAATCTTAAAAATTATTAAAAAAAAAAGATAAATATAATGAAAATAAAATACGTGTGCCCAAGCTGGACTGCCAAACTATGGAGATAAAACCTTAGGGACATAAAAACAAAACAAAACAAGAAAAAAAAACCCTTAGGGACATGGCCCAGGAATCTGCATTTTAACAAGCTTCTTGGTGCTGGGGGTGGTTCCTTGTAGTTGGGGGCCGCACTGGGCTCTCTCTGCCTCTGACTAGCCCTCCCAGACCGTATTCTTCTTCTTCTTTTTTTAAAATAAGTTCTGGCCAGTTTTATTAAAGAGAACATTTTTTTTTAATTTTATTTATTTATTTGAGAGAGCGAGAGCACATGAGAGGGGGGAGGGTCAGAGGGAGAAGCAGACTCCCCGCTGAGCAGGGAGCCCCATGCGGGAAATGATCCCGGGACTCCAGGATCATGACCTGAGCTGAAGGCAGTCGCTTAACAAACTGAGCCACCCAGGCGCCCTAAAGAGAAATATTTTGTGACTTGCTTTTCACCAGTCTGTTCTGGCAGGATTCTAATGATACCAGAATCGCCTGGGTCAGTGGTGACCAGTGTGCATACTCTGTAGTATTTCCCACGAGCTGTGCCCAATTCAATGTTATTGCCACTGTCGTGATGGACACCAGTTTTGGCCAACGTGGCGTAGTAGTCAATTTCAGATTTCCTCAAGGCTGGGCAGTTGTTAGCGAGGGTGACTAGTTCTGTTTTGCCATGTAAGATCATTTTCAGAGTCGGCTCATACCCCAGCGTGTATGTTCCACTTTCCATAGTGAGTTGGAGCCTGGAGTTGATCAACTGCAGCGACTTTTTCAACTTCTTTTCGGTTGCCACCTTCGTGCCTTAGGCCGGGGAGGGCCACCGCTAAGAGCAGTGGAGAGATGACCAGGAGAGATGTTTTGAAGCCCTCATTGCAACTTCCATTTTTGGAGCTCTCAAAGAATTCCAGAAGGTTCACTGTCCCTGCTTGCAAAGGCACAGGGAGTCCTTCATAACCCCCTATAGGTTTCCCTTACTCCTTAGGACTGGTTCTTGGGCCTCTATGGCCTTACAAAGGAGCACAGCTCCAAAGTGCCTTTGATGGAAAGATGACCCTGATCCTGATCCTCTGTCTTCTCTCTCAACAGGGCTTTTGACACAACCCAAGAAGGAGGGAAAAGAGAGGAACTCCAGCATAGTTCAGGCACTTCCTCCTCGAGGCTTGTCTTCAAACAGGTTTTCGCGGATACCAGTGTGGGAGATGAACACCCAGGGTTCTAGGCTGGAACCAGTGAGCATAATCGGGTTCCTTGGGCCCGGTCCTCCACTGAAGCAGCCCAGTGAGGATCTCAGCTTTTCAGGAGGTAAAATAAAAGGAGAGGGTTGACGGGTGAACTCAGTGCTCTGGGGGTCTGATTAAGGGTCTGATTACATGCATTGGGAACAACCGTGGAGGAGGCTGAGTCTTTAAAAATGGGTATTTTGGGGCATCTGGGTGGCTCAGTCGGTGAAGCATCTGCTGTCGGCTCAGGTCATGATCCCAGGGTCCTGGGATCGAGTCCTACATCTGGCTCCCTGCTCAGCAGGGAGTCTGCTTCTCCCTCTCCCATGCTTGTGTTCTCTCTCTCTCTGTCAAAGAAATAAATAAAAAAAAAAAAAAAAAGAAAGATGGGTATTTCAAAAGGAGGATGGTGAGCGGGGAACAGGGAGCAGGTCTTGTTTAGCTGGAACTGAATACAGGCAGGAGCAGTGGCACTGGAAACCAAAAAGTATTTCTGCCTGCAAGGCACTTTGTAGTTTACAAGATTCACCCACTCCCCACCTCACCAGGTCCTAAGTGCAGCCCTGTGAGGTATGAGGCCATTGTTGGTGAACTCGTTTCCCAGAAAAATAAAACAAAAAGCAAAACGAGGGGTGCCTGGGTGGTTCAGTTGGTTAAGCAACTGCCTTCAGCTCAGGTCATGATCCTGGAGTTCCAGGATCGAGTCCCGCATCGGGCTCCCTGCTCAACGGGGAGTCTGCTTCTCCTTCTGACCCTCCCCCCTCTCATGAGCTCTCTCTCATTCTCTCTCTCAAATAAATAAATGAAATCTTAAAAAAAAAAAAAACCCAAAAAACAAAAAGCAAAACGAAACTGGGATTCAGAGTGGTCAGGTGACCTATGCAAAGCCATGGCACAAGTATGTGGCCAAGCTGGGACTCCGACCCCGCCTTCTGTCTGCTGGCATTCTTTTCCCTGTGACCAGGGTCATACTGGGGGACCTGAGTAATGCTACAGTGTGAGTTTGAACTGAAGCAATGGGGAGCCACAGAAAGAATTTTAGAAGAGCTGTAGTTGGGGCGCCTGGGTGGTGGTTGAACGTCTGACTCTTGGTTTCACTTGGGTCATGGTCTCAGGGTTGTGGGATTGAGCCCTGAGTTGGGCTCCACGCTCAGTGGAGAGTCTACTTGGGATTCTCTCTCTCCCTCTGCCCTCCCTCCGACGCTCTCTCTCTAAAATAAATAAATCTTAAAAAAAAAAAAAAGAGCTGTGATTATCATAGGCGTGCTGGGCCTTGGGCACGTGTGCTGGTTAAGGGAGACTGAGCGCTGCAGTGGGGCTACGTCGCTCTGACAGAGAAAGTGGGGTGCTCTACAGGTCACATGGACAGGGCAGGGAGGGAGAGCATAGCTGATGTGGGCCCTGCGGGGAAGAATGGTGTTCATTCATTCATTCATTCTTCCAATCTCTCTTTAGTAAGTGCCTTCCCTGTGCTAAGTGTCATGCTAGACATTGGGGATGTAATGGTGAACTTGACCACAGGGTTCCGACCCTCACAGGACTAACACTTCAGGGGACAGTGGATCATAAGGAGCAAATGAACAAGTACAAGAACTTTCAATTGTGGCTAAACATAGGATCTTCCTGACCATGAGGACGTGTCACCCAGTGTCCTGTGGTCTTCAGGGTGGCTTCTCTTGCTCGCCCTGGAAATCCCTGCCCCTGAGTGTAATGCAGACTGTGTTCAGGGTTCTGTGGGGGTTCAGGGAAGGGAGGCATCCTTCCTCCTGCTCAGAGTGACCTGGGGAAGGCTTCATGGAAGAGGATGCATTGAGGTTGGGCATTCACTCAACAAATATGTAATGAGCACCTACTGAATACCAGGCTCTGTTTTATTTTATTATTATTATTTTTAAGATTTTATTTTTAAGTAATCTCTATACCTAACATAGGGCTTGAACTCACAACCCTGAGATCAAGAGTTGCATGCTGTACCAACTGAGCCAGCCAGGCACCCCCAGGCTCTGTTTTAGATGCTACTAGGGATAATCATTGAACAAAATGAAACAGACCATGTTGTACTGTCTCAGAACTACTGAAAAGAGGTTAGGTAATAAGCAAGGGAGACAAGAAAAATAGTATTTCAGGGGGTGATGAATGCTCTGGAGAAAAACAAATTGCGGAAGGCGGATAGTGAGTGGAGGGATGGGTACTACATTCTTTGACAGGTGGCTAGGAAAGGCTGCATTGAGAAGATCACATTTGACTAAAGATCTGAAAGAGGTGAGAGAGTGAGCCATGAAATATACATGGGGGGCGCCTGGGTGGCTCAGTTGGTTAAGCAACTGCCTTCAGCTCAGGTCATGATCCTGGAGTCCCGGGATCGAGTCCCGCATCGGGCTCCCTGCTCAGCAGGGAGTCTGCTTCTCCCTCTGACCCTCTTCCCTCTCGTGCTCTCTGTCTCTCATTCTCTCTCTCTCAAATGAATAAATAAAAATCTTTAAAATAAATAAATAAATAAATAAATAAATAAAAATCTTAAAAAATTAAAAAAAAAAAGAAATATACATGGGATGGGTGTTTCAGATAAAGGGGCCTGCAGTGCAAAGGCCCTGAGGCAGAAACTTTACTGAATGTTTTCAGATGAGCAAAGAAGGCCAGTATGGTTGGAGCAGAGACAACAAAAGGTAGAGTTATAGGAGGCAAGGAGGTGTGGGGACAGGTGGGGCATTGTAGACCACTGTAGCTTTTTTTTTTTTTAAAGATTTTATTTATTTATTTGACAGAGAGAGAGAGAGAGCAAGAGCAGGAACAAGCAGGGGGAGTGGGAGAGGGAGAAGCACGCCCCCTGCCGAGCAGGGAGCCCGATGCGGGACTCGATCCCAGGACCCAGGGATCATGACCTGGGCCGAAGGCAGACGCTTAACGACTGAGCCACCCAGGCGCCCGACCACTGTAGCTTTTACTCTGAGAGGGGAAGTCACTGCCATGAGGGCAAGTTGCCCAAGGCAAGGTCTGGGCTGGCTCATCTCTGTATCCCCCTCAGCATCTAGCACAGGGCTTTCACCTAAAAAAATATCAAGATGCAATTTTTAAAAATTTTAAAAAGATTTTATTTGTTTTAGAGAGTGAGAGAGCATGAGCGGTGGGGGGGGGGCAGAGGGAGAGGGAGAGAATCCTCAAGCAGACTCCCTGCTGAGCACGGAGCCCGACACGGGGCTTGATCCTAGGACCCCAAGACCATGACCTGAGCCGAAATCAAGAGTCAGACACCTAACCAAATGAGCCACCCAGGCACCCCAAGGTGCAATGTTTTTTAAAGAAAAGGATGTCAACAGAGGGCATTTGTGTGGCCCGTAGGGAGTAGTTGGTAGGTACCCACTTTGATCATTCTCTTATGTAGAGATAGAGATGAGGTGGGGAATACGGCTAGGTGGACAAAGGTGGGCAGAAAACAGGGAGCTCATTGGGTGTTCAGGGCAGGGGATGGCCTGAGGACAGTGGCTGACTAGCAGGGTGGGCTGGAGGAGAGACGGGTGTAGGATGCTAGTGTACTGCTGGAAGGAGCAGTGGGCCTTGGAGTAGAGAGAAACCGTAGGCAAGAAACCTCAGCAAGGAGGCTGGCCAGCGCTTGGACAAGGGAGAGAGAAGTTAGATCGAACTGCCAGAGGTTGTTGAGCTGTGTGCTTACAGAAGGGGGTCTGTGAACAGCATTAGGAGAATCCTAGAGAGCCGGCCTCTTTCACCACACTTACCATGTTCTGCCTTGTGTTTTCTTTTCCTCCTGCTTTCCTTACCCTCACCTCAAGGGCAGGGAGTGTGTCTTACTCATCTTGGCATCACACAGTGTCCATATGCTGTAGGGTGCTCAGGCAGTACTTACATCGAGTTATTTTGGATCAGTTGGGCTTGAGAAACAGATGTGTCACCTTTATCACATTAGTTCTAGAATCATCCCTTCCCTCCACATGCTGGTTCAGCTCTTCCAGTCCTCAGTCAGGCAGATGCTATTCCCAGGCCTCTCATTAGCAAGACAGCATATGCTTATCAAATCATGTTAGTCAGTCATGAAAGCCTGAACATAGAGGCTGTGTCAAGTTCAGAGTTAGCTAGGCATTTCTCTGGGACACACAGAAGAAGTTTCTCTAGAGGCAAGAGAAGTAGCCACTACCTAATCAATGCAAACTGTCACCTGCCTCCTTTATGTCTCCTGAGGCAGTTCCTATATAGCCCTCCCTAAATACTGCAGGCATCAGTAAATGCCTGTGGTGTGGGGGGCGGGGGAGCAAGGGCGCTGCACTCAAAGTTAAACATTCACCCAAACACTTACTGAGCATGTTCTACAATGTGTGGACACAGGCCCTGCATGTACCCTATTTTCAGAGGTCAGCTTCAAGGTTATATTTTCCCAGAAGCCTTTGGACACCCCTCATTTGGATTAAGGCTGTCATAGCACCTTGAACTTACTTCAGCCTATCATTTATAAAATGGCATTTTATTTTATTTTAAACATTTTATTTATTTATTTGAGAGAGAGAGAGAGAGAAGCGAGAGAGGGAACACAAGCAGGGGGAGCGGGAGAGGGAGAAGCAGGCTTCCTACTGAGCAGGGAGCCCGATATGGGGCTTGATCCCAGGACCCTGGGGACTCTGGGACCATGACCTGAGCCGAAGGCAGACACTTAACGACAGAGCTACCCAAGTGCCCCATAAAATGGCACTTTAAACACGTTTTCTGGTCTGCACGTTCTTCTAAACTGGAAGCTCTTTGAAGGCAAAAACCCAGATTTTGTCCTCAGCATTGACCACATAGCCTTGTACAATGCAGGCACCACTCGGTTAACGACTGCCGAATTAAGTCAGACAGTGCTGTAGAGTGCTAAGTGTAACCCGAGAATATCAGGGGAAGGCTTCTCTGAGCTGGATCTGGATGTTAGAAGAGTAAGTAGTCAGTTCACCAGGTAAAGCGATGAGAGAATTCCAGCTAGGGAACAGGTGTCCGCAAAGTTCGGAAGAAAGGTGTCAAATTCTGTGGTTAG